CCGATGCCCTCGATAGCCTGCTTCCCAGGAGTGGCCCCATACACGTCTGGTTTGGGTCCCTCCCTCTGGCTAGTGAACCTGGGCCCCCGGGTGGTCCATGGGGAGAACTCAGGGCCTAGGCCTGATGGGCTTCCTGGCCCTCCACCTGCCCTGACTGAGGTGGTCACAGGGGCAGGCTCCGGGGCTGAGGAAATGGTTAAGACACAGCCCCTGCCTCCTTTGAGAAGCCCAGTGACTAGAGCAGAGGCAGGTGGACAAACTAATATGTCTGGACGAAGATCTGGGGGCCTGAAGGAGGAGGGGCAAACCTCTTCCCAGGGAAGGAGGTGCCGCCCTTGGTAGAAGGTCCTGAGCAACACATCCCTCCTTCTAAGGGCGCCCCTCCCACCGCAGCCAAACCCAGTTCTTTGTTTTCCTTACTGGTCTCAGAAACTAAACAAATAACAAACACAATGACCTTTAGTTCCTTTCTACCCCAGCCCTTTCACTATCATCACCGTCCTTCGTGAATCCTGGCCAAGTCTGGTGACTCGTGGCCCTGGAGCTGTTTAATTTCCACGGCAAGTTGGAGGCCCACCCCTGCCCCCTGCCCCAGACCCTCCTCATCTCCCCCTGCAGGGTGAACCTTCATGCCAACATCCTGGGGTGTGGCCCGTTAGGCACCGCTCATCCTTCTCCCCCTGCCCTCTTTCTTTTTAAAATTTATTGAGGTGACATTGGTCTATAACATCATGTACGTCTCACGTGTACAACATCGTATCTTGACTTTTGTGTACTCTACAGCGTGCTCACCACCAAGGGTGTGGTTTCCAGCCACCACCCTGCAGCTGCCTCCCTCCCCTCTGATAACCACTGCTCTGTTTTCTGTATCCACGGATTCGGTTTGGTTTGGTTTGGCTTGTTTATGTATTTAATATCTGACATGTGAGTGAAATCGTACGGTATTTGTCTTTCTCTGTCTGACTTACTTCACTTAACCCGTGAGGTCCATCCATGTTGTCACTAATGGCAGGGTTTTGTCTATTTCGTGGCTGAGTCGTGTTCCATCATATATACACCACGTCTTCTTTATCTATATTCATCCGTCGTCCATCCTTGTTCCCTTTTGGCACCATCGGTAAATGGTTTGCGTAGCAATCAGAGCATTTTCTATATTGCTGAAGAGGATCCCAATTTGGGAGTTTAAGAATTAAGCTGAGGTGAATAAGGCTCCCTTCTGCAACGGTGGCCCCTCTGGATGGCGAGGGCCCCTCTGTCTCACCTGAATTCTGGTGGGGCCGCCCTGCCTGAGCCTCGGAGGTCCAGGATGCCTCACGAGCTACACACGTTGTCAGATACAGAGATACTCGGTGTGGGACCGGAAGGGGATCTGTGTGGCCCGTCACCTGTGTGCAGGTTAGCGAGAGCCCAAAGGCCTGAGAGACGCAGGGAGAGGCCAAGAGCTTGGCATTACTCTGAAGCTGCAACATGCAGCATCTCCCCAGCTGCCAGGCAGCAGAGATGCTGCATGTTGATTTCACGGATTCGCAGCTCCTCCTCCCCTCTGGGAATTCTGTACCTGCTTACTTTTTTTGTTGTCTAAAGAAAAAAAAGGAAAGGAAAAGGCAGCTCTGCCTTGTTCACATGCTCTGAGATCCTCAAGGGCAGTCTGTACCTTCCGGCTCCCCTGAGCCCGGCGAGTAGATGCGGACCATCACGGGGGAGAGATGGTGTCTCACATCCCCTTCTCTCTCTGATGGTTCCTTCTGCGCCCAAAGTCTAAGACATTGAGGCAGCACAGCAGCTGACCTTGCCTCTCCGCCCTGCTGCCAGGCCTGGCTACCTAGGGCCCCGCTTCTGTCACGTGCCCCACTGCTTGGGAAGCCCCGGGATGAAGCTCAGACTCCCAGTGTCACTCGAGGCCTCACAGGTGGCTCACTGTGGCCCCCCAGCCCCCGTCTCCTCACTGCCCCCGAAGTTCCCCTAGCCGTGCTCTCCCCCCTCTTCTGTCCCTGCCACGCCCACTCCAGCCAGCCCTTCTCCAAGGGGAGGCCAAACTCCAGCTCCGTGCCGTCCTGTCGTGGCACGTGTGCGCTCTGTCATTCTGCTGTGGGCTTCTCCAGGGATGGTCTGTTCACTGCATCTCGAGCCCCTTGGGGCCACGGCCGTGTCTCACTCACCTTTGTCTCTCCCAGTGCCCCCGCTCATTGTCCCGCCGCGATGAACTGTCTATGACGCATGAGTGGTCTCTTCATGGTGGCAGCGGAGGACGACGTTCTGGCTGAAACTGCTTGCCCCTGGCTGGTCTCCTGGCTTTGCCTGAGCTGCCTCCTATCGGGGACTCAGTTCCTGTCTTGCAAACTACCTTCTCCCCTCACCCTTCCTTCTTCCAGCCCGCTGTACGATAATGTAGGGCCATCTCCTGGGGGACTCCCCTTTGCTGACCACAGGTCCAGCGGCACTGCCCTGACCACCCCTCTCCCCTTTGCCCCTTACTCAGCTCCTTCTGCTAATGACCTCATCAGGCTCCCTGTTGTGCTTTTAGATTCTGTCTGTTAGACTGGCAGATTCCCAAGGGCAGGAACTAGGTTTAGAGCCCAAGAGAGTAAAGAACATGGGCTTTGAAATCACGGTTTCCTTATCTGTAAAATGGGAATAATAACCATACCTATCTTGTGGGGCTGCCCTGAGGATTCTGTGAGTTACTGCGGGTGATGCTTGGTGCCTGGGATACACTGGGGACTTGCAAATAGGAGTTGCTCTTATGCTTCTGATCATCGACTAAGCTGGGAGCGAGCCCTCACGGGAGTGGGACCTCAGTGCCCTTTTGATGAGCGTGGCCAGGAGGGAGCAGAGCAGAGCGCTTACACTGGGCGGCCCCTCTTCCTCTCCTACCTGCCTGTTGTCCTGCACCCCCGGCCCCCCAGGGCTTCAGCTGCTGAGGAAATAGCTATTGGCACAAATCCACGTGTAGTCAGAAATGAGGGTGGAACGATCGAGGACAGTGGGGAGGCTGTTCTCACAGAACAAGGTGTGAGCTGGCGAGAAGAGAGAGATGAAAAGAAAGGAGAAGGCGGGGTGGGGAGTGGGGGCCAGCCTGGGAGGTGCTGGCTGACTCCAAGTCCATGTCAGAGACTAGTAGTGACAACCCCTGGGACTGGCTCAGCCCTTAGGGGCCTCAGACGGTTCTCACACAGGCCGACTCCTCTGGGGCTGGGCTCTGTGAACCCCATTTTAAAGAGGAGGAGATAGCACCTCACAAAGGCGGACCACCTAGCCCTGATCACAGACCTCAGATCGAGCTCAGAGTGAAAAACAGGTCTCCTGACTCTCAGTCCAGCTGGTATGATCTCTCCCGCATCAGAGAAGTGATGTGGCAGCCGCGAGCCCTCAGGAGCCGGTCCAGGCTGAAGAGGACAAGAGGCATTCCAGTCGGGTGGCCGTGGGATCTGCCAGGAGCCAGCCGGACATCTGCCCCTCATGTGTGCACAGCACCCACGGGACCGCTGTGCCCAACCAGGAGACAGCAGGGTGCCGTGTCTGTGACACACACTGGCTTTCGTTGCTGGCTGCCATCTGAGTGGGGGAGGGGCTCAGAATAGTAGCGCCGCTGTTGGTCCTTTTAAAGAAGCTGGGCTGCCCTCAGAAAGAGCGCCCGCACCCCTGGAATGCAGGCCTGCCTCCGGCCCTGAGGTGCAGACTCAGCAGCTTAGGGCCCCGCAGAAGATCTGTGACAAGGGTCTGGTCGGAATGAGTGTCCCCCTCGGCCAGAGCGGATGTGGTAGCTCTGTTCCTGCCCATGGCCTTGGTGATTAATGTCCTTCTGTCTTCCTGGCTAGATCTTGTGTATCTGAATCTGAAGGGCAGGGAGCAGCACACCTCATACCTTGTTTCCCCAGGTCCTGGTGCGCTCAGCACAGAGCAGGTGTGGAGTAAACGTCTGATGGGATCCCGGGAGGACATTTTCACACTCACACCATCCAGCCGCCCTGCCCAGCGCCTCCCGGCGGCCGAGCGCGCTGTTAGGTGTGGGATGCAGGGCCAGGGGAGACGTGGCGCTGCTCTGGGGCTCTCAGCACCCTCTTGCTGGTGGCAGAGGTGCCGCCCCCCACCTGTCTTCTGGTCTTCTTTATTTGCCAACTGGGCAGCGCAGACCTCTGCACAAGCCCGGGACGCAGGTGGTGTTTCATGGTAGGATGAAGGGCTCCTTCTGGATGCCCCCAAGCTCCTAGCGAGAGCATTCTTGGTGCTGTGCCCTGACCAGCCCTGCCGGAGCGCCGGTATCCCAGCGTGCTCCGACACCACCCTTGGCAAGGCAGGATTCGCGGGGGCAAGGCAGGACCTTACCTGGGCCACCTACTCTTCTCAGCCGGGTGGGGGGGTCCCGACCGGAACGCAGGTCAGGAGTTGGGGGGGGGGGCTTGCGCAGCTGCAGGAGCCTCCGGAGCGGCGTGCGCGCGTGCGCGGAGGGGGCGGGGCGGGCGGCGCGGGTCGCGAGGGCCTTTCCCACACCTCGCGCTTCCCCTGCGGTCCCAGATCCCCGTGTGCCCTAGCCTGACCCACGTGTGCAGACACGCGCGCCTGTGTGTGTGTAGCCGGCAGACCTTGTGCCCAGGTCGGACAGGCCCCGTGGGCACAGGGGGCGGCGGCCAGCTGGACAGCGGCCGCGCTTCTTTCCCCTCCAGTCTTCCCCAGCACTTTCCTCTGGGGAGGTTTCCTTGGGTCGTGGTACCTCCAGCCATTCCCCTCCCCTCCCGCCCCCTTCTCTCCCCGGAAAGAGGCCAGCACCTTGCGATGAAGGTTCTGGTTCACCCCGGCTCCGGAGCCCTTGACATTTAGCGAGGCTCGCGGCGCACTGGTGTAGGCACCAGGCAGAACGCTAATCCCATTAAAGCTGTGGTGTCATCCGGGAGGGAGGCTGCCCCCCGTAGTCCTCGCGTTCATTGGCCGAATGCAAACCAGGGGGCGGGGCCGAGGGCCGGGGAGGGGGCTCCGGAGATTTCGGAGTCGGGAGTCGGGCCGGGATTTCGCAGGGGTAGCCCAGCGGTTGAAGCTGCGGCGGATCCCTCGGCACTGCCCGCCGCGCGGCCGTGCAGCCCAGGGCCGGGGGCAGCTCCGCAAAGTCGCGGGGCGAGAGGAGGCGGGCGCCCGCAAAGTGGCCGGGCCGGGCCGGGCTGGGACGGGTAGAGGGGTGCCGGGGAGCCCGGAGCCGGGCGCCCGGGTGCCTCGCGTGGAGCTGCGGTGCGCCCGGGAGGCGAGCCGACGCTCGGGAGCGAGCAAGCAAATCGCTGCCTCCCTAAAGACTCTAAGTTACGCAGACCAGCCGGTTCCCGGGGAGCGCGCGTGGAGCCGCGCCGCGCCGCGCCGCAGAGCCCTCCCGGGCCGGCCGGCGAGAAGCGGGGCGCCGGCACCCCCAGCGCGGGGTCCGGCCGGCAGTGCGCCCCGGGACTGAGCGACGGCGTGCGAGGCTCCTCCGACCCGCCCGCAGCCCGCGCCCGACTCGGGCGCCCCCTCCGTGCCACTCCGGGAGCGATGCCCCCCGCCCCCCGCGCCCCCCGGGAGCGACGCGAGCATGGAGAAGTCGAGTAGCGAGGATTCTTCGATCCACCGGAGTCCATCTTTGGACAGCAAGGACTCGGACTTTGCCAAGCCGTCCACCTCGGGCCGCCCGTTCGGCCGCGGCTTCACGGCCGGCGCCTTCTACGGCACCGCGGGCTCCCGCGGCCAGAGCCGCGCCGAGGCTGGCGTGAAGACCGACAAGTACAATGCGCCCAAAGGCAGCAAGTACGTGGTGTTTTACCTGGACCTGTCCTTTGTTCTCCTCCTAGAATTTAAGAAGTGCAACATGGCCAGAGGCTGCCTCTGCTGCTTGAAGTACACGATGTTCCTCTTCAATCTGATATTCTGGGTAAGTCCTTCCCAGTATCTCTCCTTGGTCTCCTCTCTTCTTTGCTTAAGCACGATACCCTCTTTCCCTTCAGAGCTGCATTGCTCTGCTCTCTGCACAGCGGTAAGTGGGTTTTAAAAAACCGTTCCCCCGGCCCCCGCCCCCCCGCCCCCACTTTCATTCATCTTTCTCTTCCCTTCTCTCTCCTTGGTGGCTGAGTGGAGGCTGCAACTTGCCTGTCTTCCAGGAGAGACTTGTTCTACTCCTGGGAGGCAGCTGAAGTTTGCCGCCACCTTCTCCCCCTGTAAGAAACCCGTGCCCCCAACTGGGAAATGTGTAGAAATAGGTGTGGTGTCGGAATTTTTAGCAGCTGTGACCTTGAGTTGAATTCAAGCAGAAGTGCGGACGGTTTTCCGAGTTTCTTCTTGTATTCCTCCTGAACATGCACGAACACAGTCTGCGGCACTTTATGGGCGTGAGATGGGGGGAGTGGTAGAGGTCACGCCCTCCTGATCCTTTCAGTGAATCCCAGGAAAAGGAGAAGGAGCCCCTATCCCAGGCCGAGGGGCCCGCTCGCTGGCCTGCAGCTCTGCCCCCGAGTTAGGGCTTGTGTGGAGAGGCGGGTGTGGGAGGGATGCTGCCATCGGGTGGCCGCAGCTGCTTTTGAGGGATTGCAGTGGACTGGGCAGGGAGCAGGCCGGCCATGTGCTCCCGCCATGGGACCCAGAGCCTGGAAGGGACAAAGGGAGTGCCCTATCCTTGGTGAGAGAGGAGGTTCTAGAGAAGGTGCCAGTGGGTGGGGCAGCTCGGAACTGTGCTCAGTCCCCTGTTATTCTGCCCCTGTGTGCCCCTGTGCACGAGAAATACTAGGCGAATTTGAAAACTTCTTAAATGCGTGTCTAACTCTTCCGTCATCCCAACTTCTGCCTCTGCCTTTCTTCTCTGGAGCCCAGACGCAGTCAGCACAGATGTTTGGCCCTGCCCCAGGGCTGTCCTCCTCCCTTGTGGAGGCTGTCCACTGCCCATGGTCCAGGAGGAGCATGGGGCAGGAGAGTCACCCAGTGCGGGGGGCTGCGTGCGGCGTGCTTTGGTGTTCAGGGCTTGTGTGAACTGACCCACTTTAACTGAGAAACGTTCATGGGTGTGTATGGGTGGGTGAGTTTTCCCTGGGAAGGGGAGAGCTCAGGCCTGGGCTGAGGGAGACGGGGCTCTGGCCTTGGCTCCGCATCAGCTCTTTGTGTGACCTTGGGTAAATCACTTTATCCCTAAGGACTGGGTTTCCTTTCCAGTCCAGTGTGGGGGGCGGTCGTGATGGTCCCCCTCACAGCCTCGCCTCCCTAGTTATGGGACATCCTGCCTCCTTACCTTCTCTCTGGGGAGGGAGCCCCCTTCCCTTTTCTTCCGAGGAGCCTGGTCTGAGATCTTTTGAGTAGGATTTCCCCAGGTCTGGGTCTGGGCCACTGCTGGTAAGATGTTACCTGTCCTGTGGGGAGGGTTCTGTGGAAATTGGGGCAGATCCTCTGGAATGTCAGGAACGATCTTGTGGCTGCCTCTGGGCAAGTCCTCCTGGCCCTCTGGCTCGTTTGCCAGCGTCCGCGTCAGCCAAGCACTGGTGTGTGTTTGTCTGGGGCCTGCGGATTTCCATGAATGCTGCCCATTCATTGTGCACGGCTTCCCTCTCTGTCCTTGTTCACAGTCTCCGCCTACCTTTCTGCCTTTCTGCCTCGCCCCACTCTTACTAGACAGACCCTCCTGGGATGCTCGGTGCCCTGGACAGTACCTCCCACTCAGACGCGCTCCTCCCCGCCCCCACCCCGCCACCTGCTGGCCAGAGTAGGTATAACCGCGTGTGCCGCCTCTTTTTTTCTCCGGGCGTTTGGGGACCTCCCCACGCGCTAGCTGGTACTGTGGTCTGTGCCCTGCACATGGAAGGCTCTGGTTGTGTGTTTGTGAGTGAATGAAGGGAAGGTCAGCGCAGTAAACCCACACATGTGGTAGGGATTCCCAATCCCACCTGACAGGAAAGAGAAGTTAGTTCTCAAACTTGCCAGCGATGAAGGCTGTCCTGGCGCCTTAGCTGTGGGGTGACGAGTGACTTTCTCTCTTCCGGTGGTTAATGAACCGGTCAGTGGAATGGCCTTCCTTTTTGGTTATAGTGAGAGAACTTACTCTTCCTAATAAGAAAGTACCTACCCCCTCTCTCCTACCCGGCAAGGACTCGATTTCTTCTAGCCTCTGACTTTGCTGGCTACGTAATATTTTCAGAATTCCCACAACATGCTATGAGCTGGGAAAAATTCTGAGTCTCAGAGACCCAGTTCTTTCATGCTTGTAGCGTATGGGATGATGAAATAAGGCCTAGACCTTAGGAGAGATGGAAAATTCAGCAGAAGAGAAACGGATGCTTGTGTGTGTGAGAGTGTTGGCCACTGCGTTTCTTGGCAGGTAGACGAGCAGGTGTAGCCAGGACTTGGGCTTGCGCCTCCCTGTACCCCAGTCCAGCAAAGGCTTCCTGCGGGAGGTGCTTGGGCCTGAAATAGAAGGAGCAGTGGAGGGAAGAGCCAACTCGGAAGAGAAGGAGCGAAGGCAGGTGGTGGTGTTGGTGAGGCAGGACCTCTGGAGACCCCTGCTGCTTCCCAGGGCACCAGGGAGGCAAGGACAGACGTGAGTGAGAGGGTGGGTGCGAGGAGGGTCAGCGCCAAGCCCTCTGGGACCCAGAGCAGTTGTTAGGAATTATGTAGCCATGACTTTCTAGTGTCATGGCTCAGAGCCCAAAAAGAGGCTTTTCTGAGGCATTAGAGCTGAACCTGCGGCCTGTAATCAATAGGTTGAGATCTCCCCATAGATCCTGACGCCTACCTGGTCGTTCTCCAAACCCACCGCTGTGGCCACACCGCCTGCTTCCCGGGAGCCCGCTGGGAGGAGTCCCGCTGCCAGGAGAGGCGCAGCTGTCTCACACTGCAGCCCCTCGCAGGCCTGAGCGGGCCTGGCTCCTTGCCACTGGGTGGAGCTTCTAGGGTACTGGTGTTGGCGGGGGCCCAGGTGACATCACCGGGGGCAGGATGGAGGCGGAGCTGTGCGCTGGCCTCCCCCCACCCCCTTCCGAAGGAAAGGGCAGGTGCCTTGCAGGCTGCTGGGCGCCTAACTGTGGGGGGGAGGGGACGGCGTCCAGGTCTGCCCCTGGTACTGCTGCCTAGAGCCAGCTGGTGCTAGCCAGGTTGGCGCCCAGGGCAGCGTTTCTGAGGGCCTGACATAGACGGTGGGGTAGAGGTCAGCCTGCCTGAATGAGCCCCACCTCCTCTGTGCCCATGCACGCCCCACCCGGATCCTCAAAGAGAATGCTGGCTTTCCAGGTGGGTGCGAAATGAGCTGGCACAGAAGTTTCCCCATGCTGCGGGGCCTGTCCACCAGCAATCCAGCCGCCCCAGCTATCTCTCCTCGTCTCAGCCCCATCTCTCAGTCCTCCCGGGACCATCTGGTGGAATACTCCAGGCAGAGATTAAGCGAAGCTAAGCCCCTCAAGGAGGGCACAGAAGGCTCAGAGCTTTCAACTCTGAGTATCGGGGTGAGCTCTGAGTGCTGGGGGCCTTTGTCCCTTTCTCGGGACGGCAATTCGTGACCCATCCCACCTCCTCCCAACCCAAATTTGGCTCCTATCTGATGGGGGCAGTGGTGGGAGTAGGGCTGGCGTGGCTAGTGTAATTGCCACTCAGAATAATGGTCACTTTGCATGTTCACCAGCAGAGCTGTCCCATCACTTTAAATCATGGCTGGCAGAGCAGCGACATTCTGGCCTCACCTGGAAGTCTATTCCTTGTGGATTGGTCTCTTAAGAAAGGCCAATTAGCCAAGGAGGCAGCGTTCAGGGTGCCTGCTGGGGCAGGAGAAGGGCTGGCGCAGGGCTGCGTGCGCCGGGTGTCGGGCGGGCACCCTGATTAACTTCCCCTACGTGGGGGCAGGCATTCGCGGCCTGGCCCCTCTCGGGCCGCTCACTCTGCCTCTGGGTGCGGGCAGCGTGGTCACGGCTCTCCAGTCACCTTGGAGGCACGCGTTTGGTACTGGCTTGGCCGCCAGTGGATGCCGTAGCCGCCCTGTGTCCGTGAAGCCCAGGATAGGGTCTGGTACAATCTGGGCTGGGCGGCCTGGGGTGTCCTGAGTCTGTGGGCTGCCTTCTGTCTGGGAACGGAAGTCGTGAGTGGGCTGAGGGGTCAGAACAGAGTCCCAACAGGAGATACAGGCCAAGCTGGGCAGCAAGAGGCACGTACGTAGAGGCTTCCCAAAGGCTCCGGCCGGCTCCCATAGGGCGGCTACACGTGGGGCCTGATCCTTGGGGTGGGTCAGGCCTGGCTCTGCTCGGGGAGGGGGGCTAATGCCCCGAGACCCGGGAATGTGGCCGTGAGGGAATGCCGGCTCTGTGTTCGCTTCCTTTCCAAAGCATTAAAAATTAAACTTCCTTGTCTTGATATCTATTTTTAAATCATGTCAGTGCCAGCATTGGTGTCAGTCAAGAGGGGGTGGGGAGGAGGAGGGCAGGGAAGAGAGAGTTCCGCTGAAACGGGGGGGGAGTGCTGTCACCCCTGTGGGGAAGGGGCTGCAGGCCTGCCCCCCCTCCCGCTGTCCTGAGGAGCACAGAAAAAGCCACAGGCCTCCTCCCCCGGCCTCCGCGGAGGATGGGGCCTCGCCCTCCCCTGCCTCCGTGTGCCTGGCTGCCCTTGGCCGAACTTGGCGGCGGGCTGTGGGCCTCACTGGGCTGCAGGGTCCCAATCGAGCCGCTTCACTCATGCCACAAGTATTTCCTGAATGCCCGCTGCGTGCGCAGGAGCCTGCAGCGCTGAGGACCGGCTGACTGGGCTCGCACAGGGCAGATCAGCTTTCCCGGGCCAGGAAGTCGTGGATGGGGAGGTCACCTGGCCCGTCCTCCCCCAGGCACCAGAACACGGAGCCCCCCTCCCCCTCCGCAGCACCCTGGGCCGGGGCAGCGGCAGGCCTGGACTCAGCGTCCGTCCTGGGGCCCTGACTTG